AGGACAAAAGGCGTCCTTTATTTTGAAAAAAATTATAAAGGACAGAGGGAAAAAATAATGGGCTGTCCTTTAAAATAAAGGACGGATGGTCACCGTAATCGTACTCCTACCCATTTGGAAGCATCAACAGTCAAGAAGACATAAGGATAAAATCTTATGCGCTAAGTTAGTAATACCACTCACGAAATTCGTTCTTTGTATAAAACATGTAATATAATTAGTTTATGGTAAATTTTTATGCTTCGCTAAATGGCACATAACATTGTCTTCTCATTTTTTCAGTGGCAACAAGCCGAGGACATCGATCAGAAAAAGGAAATTCGTTCACATTTATATAAACTACGTGAATCGCGTTTACGTGACTTATACCAGGGCGACATCATGGCTGGCAACTTCGCTAAAGATCCTTTGAATCCTTCGCACGGTGATTCGTTGGTAGGTCAAAATTTTCAAAGTTTGAAATCGAAAGAAGTGCGGGATTCAATTAGTCCCACACAAGATTTGAAGTTCCACTCAATGACTCTCAATCATCCCAATACAACGGGATGGGATGTGCAAACCTCATCAGAGGTGAGTCCAGATGGTCGCGCATACCGCACTGAAACCTTAGCTACTACAGATGGTAAGTCTCTCTCTTTCCCGTTTAAATGGTGTTACATATCTTTTAATTAATAATAAATCATACTTCTTTTACAAATCATTTTTAAAACCCATGCATGCCATTCTACATATGTACATACATTGGTATATACACATACAACATAAAACCTCATGTAATCGTTTGTTTACAGGCGTNCGTGTTACATATCTTTCAATTAATAATAAATCATACTTCTTTTACAAATCATTTTTAAAACCCATGCATGCCGTTCTACATGCATACATATATACATATATACACATACAACATAAAACCTCATGTAATCGTTTGTTTACAGGCGTCGAGAAGATCAATGGCGGCACCGCTGAATTTCGTGGTCGTAATGAACAGCNGATGGTCGCGCATACCGCACTGAAACCTTAGCTACTACAGATGGTAAGTCTCTCTCTTTCCCGTTTAAATGGTGTTACATATCTTTTAATTAATAATAAATCATACTTCTTTTACAAATCATTTTTAAAACCCATGCATGCCATTCTACATATGTACATACATTGGTATATACACATACAACATAAAACCTCATGTAATCGTTTGTTTACAGGCGTCGAGAAGATCAATGGCGGCACCGCTGAATTTCGCGGTCGTAATGAACAGCATGCCAGCGCTTCTCATCAAGGCGATGATAAGAATTTCGTCAAGAAGGCATCGGAAAGCTCAGATACTCATTTACAAGAGCGCGTCGTAGTTGGTGATGAAAATTCTGGCCGAACCGAAATGAAGATGAGTTCGACGACAACTTCGTCCTCCTCTAATGTAACCTCTTCGTCTTCTACTGTGGAATATGGCGGTGGCGAGCCAATCGATCCGGCCAAGTACCTTGTGGATAAGACTAGTCGCCAGCACCCGGATCAACATCATCAGCAACGCCTTACGCAAGAGCAATACATTCAGCAGCAACAACAACGCCAGCAACAGTTGCAGCAAGAGGAGTTCGAACAAACCAAGCTATATCAGCAGCAACAGCATGAGAAACGCATTCAGCAGCAACAGCAGGAGCAACGTCAATTTAGCGAGGAGATCAATCGCAGTCGGCAAGAGTCCTCCACCAGTCGCAATGTGGAGACTCAACAGAAGACGGAGCAAAATAGGCGCGTAGTAGACGTGGATAAGGCATCACCGGAATATCAACAGCATGTCCAGTATCTTATGTCACAGCCTGGTGAGATCATTTCAAACACGGTAGAGTATCCGAAGCCGAACGTTAAGATGATCACCACCGTTAAGCGTTTGCCGGACGGCACCATTGTAAAGAACAAACGTTACGAAACGGAAGAGTTGCAGCCTGCAGTTGAGAGCCAACGTCAACGTACTACGTCTACAACGAGCCAGAACAGTACTCAACACAAAAGCCAGCAACAGCGACGAGAACAG